AGTAATGACTTATTTCCTGCCCGGGCCCTTCCCGGAAGCAGGGCAGAGTAATGGGGTTTGTGGGGGGGGGGGGGTGATGACAAGGGTAGCCCTAACACTGTCGATTGGGTAGACCTGTCAATTAACCGGTTTTTGGAAGCAATTCAGTCACAGGATGTGTGCCTCCGTAAGGTATAATGAACCTCTATCATGCTTATCAGCTAAGCAGGTATAAGTTGTGTTTATACTCCTCTCTCTTCAGTGGCCTTCACTGACGCTTCACAGGCCTGTTTGTACACCTTTCTAATAGTTTCTATGCTTTGTTTCTTATGCTCTTCTCTGTTTGTGGTCCTGTCGTCTGCCTTGTGTTTTCCTTCCCAGGTCAAAACTACGGATATATTCATTAGAGATGCTTCAGCTGTGGGTGACTACGCGCTCTTGATGTTCGGAGGGGAGATGTCAACAAGCCCCAGTGTAAGCAGCCACAGGTTCCAAAAGTTTGTTATCACAGACATTTCTGCTCAACAGGTTGTTTACAGCGCTACAGAGGCGTCGTATGCTGTGCTAAGCATGTCAAACTATGGAGAGATGTCTATCTTAGCCTGAGCGCAATGTGGCTCTGGAGTGCCTCTCTCACATAATGTACAGTTGCAGTGGGTTGGGCAGAACGGTACACACCATCGGCGTCCAAATGTCTATATTTCATTATTTTTCCACGTCTTTAGAGAAACTCCTAGCGACCAGTGATGCTCCCAACAATAGAAGAACATGTACCCAAGACGCTTCCTTCTTTCGTGTTTCTCCTTTCTTTTTTTTTTTTTCTTTTTCTTTTGTTTTTGGTTTTTTTTTTTTTTAAGTGCGAGGAAACAGTACTCACACGAGCACCATCTTAAACCACCAGTACTTGCTAAAGTTGTGCCCGTTAACAAGCCACAATTTTAGGAAATGTACGGGCCACGACAGGAGAGCCCAAACTCATCCAACTAGAAACGTTTCTACTCTTTTTTTTTTCTTTTTCCGCGACTGATAACTGGGCCAAGTACTGGTGGTTTAAATCTATCTGACCCCATCTATGGCCATACCTGTATGTATCTGACCGCAATTCCGTGCAGAAATACGTGGAAAAGTGCTGGTGTGATTATGCCCTCAGATTGGAAGGACAATGAACTCTCTCCTAACCAGCATGAATATGGCAACAGAGCAATTACCAGAAATGACACAGCAATTATCACACTTGCACAAGGATCGATAAATGTGGAAGTCTCCTGATGACGAAAGACTCCCTTCTTGCCTCCATACAATCAATACGACAACAGTGACGATTCCCAGCAAAGCTGGTCTCTTCACCAGCCAATGTGACCACCTACTCGAGCGGACACTATGCGAATGTACAATCCCACAGAGTGTAATGCTGCTCCCACCGGTGCCTGACCATTGGAGAATACACCATGCTGGATCCCTTCTCGGCGGCCACCGGGTAGGTTCCTAGCCAGCTCCTCCTCTCCTGCAATCCTCCTTCTCCCCCAGCATGTCACCATTCTAGTTCTCTCTCTCTCTCTCTCTCTCTCTCTCTCTCTCTCTCTCTCTCTCTCTCTCTCTCTCTCTCTCTCGGCAGCCACCAGGTAGGTTCCGAGCCAGCTCCTCCTCTCTTGCAATCCTGCTTCTCCCCCAGGATCTCCCCAYTCTCTCTCTCTCTCTCTCTCTCTCTCTCTCTCTCTCTCTCTCTCTCTCTCTCTCTCTCTCTCTCTCTCTCTCTCTCTCTCTCTCCCCTCCCAGGCACCCAGCTATGGCTGGTACCTTCCTTCTTCCCTTGCACTATGGCTGGTTGTCTGGCTCACTTGCTGACGCTGGCTGGGGGACAACTCGTGCAGCCTCCCAGCCCAGACCCAATATGCTTTGACTGCCAATCCCCACCCCTATATGTGGAGGCCGCTGATGCCAGTTGGGCCTGTAGGCCGTGCCTTCCAGAAGATTCCGGATCTGGCAGCGACCTACTGTAGCCTAGGTGGCCCTTCCGGTGCCCTGGACTTGGCCTGCCCCAGCCCTTAAACCACTGGTACCCCAACCAGGCCAATTTGAGAATGACATTGTTGTCAATCTGGGTTCTTCGGATGAACAGGGCTACCAGACCGAATGGTCTGGCAGCACAAGCCAAAAAGGGAATTAATTGTGCTGCTGGCGGTTCGCTTTCATTGGTGCGCAGTGCGAACCCGCGTCGGGAAGAAGAGGCTTGGCGGTAACTGGTGGTTGAAATGAACTGGTCGATCTCTTTTCCTTTCTGGCCTGAGTTTAGGGCGTACGGGCGTCTACCGCACAGTTGTGAAGCCCACTTGGCCTCACAAAAGCAATGAAAATTTGGAAAGGAGAGGAACTCGCCATCTTGTTTTTGTTTTTTTTTTTCAATACAGATTTATGGCTCATTCTGTTCTGTCCTGAAGTATTCATGAGACTTCATCGTCTTCTTTCGTGGAATTTGGACATTCAAAAAGTGCGCAAAATGATTGAAAATGTTTTAACAAAATTTAAATGTACATTTTATTATATTAAACTTCAAAGTTTAAACTTTAAAGTATTTGGACTCCCTTTTTTTTAGTATTGAATCTATTGATGCGTATCCGTTTTTTTTGGTGTTGAATCTTTTGACGACTCCCTTTTCTTTAGTATTGAACTAGGCTACCAGATTGGCCCGGGGTCACTTGCCCGTCTGGGCCAAAAAAAATAATAATAATACGAAAAAATATATATATTTTTTAATTTTTAATTTTTATTTTAAATTTGTTGAAGAATTTCGATGAGGCCTTGAGGCAAAAGTTGTTCAGTTATTTTTCTGCATACCATAGTTTTTTTTTTCGGATTTGGATTTATTTTTTTATTTTTTTTTGCTGGGACTTTCCTTGGTCTTTGTACGGGCTGGCCACCCGGGACCCGGGCGGCCCGTCTGGTAGCCTAGCTATTGAATCTATTGATGCATATGTTAAATTTTTGACGTGTCGTGACGTTTTCTGAATTCTTTGGATGTCTATCTCGTGTTTTCGCTATATTTTTCAGGGAGCAGGATTCTCTATGCTGAAAGGGTATCTGCATTTCTCAACGGCACCTCGATCTACGCAATTAGTAAAGGTAAGTTAAGGGGAAGGTTGATGATGAGAGTAGAACAGAACATTCGAGTGTCAAAGAGCAGAACATTCGAGTGTCAAAAAGATTTTTAATTGGGATGCCAATTTAATGCTTTCACTTGGGATCCATCTATCTCCCCAAACTGAAAACTCGTTGGCGAGAGGAAGTATCCGGAGGTGTGCCCCCCAGAATAGAAGGGGATGTGTGGCATTGTGTGTTAAACAACTAGTACCTCCGCCACTTGGGAAAATAAAATAGGGAGGCCTCGGGCGGGTCTCAGACGGCCGCCGATGAGATTTTTCAACGGTGGCCGTCGTCGGGCAGAGTCCCCGAGTTTTTTGGAGTGTGGGAAAACTGCCAGTTTTCCCTATTTTCCCAACACTGGCGGAGGTGCTAGTGCTTTAAACCACCAGTGCCCTGCCCAGCCAAAAAAATCCGACCTCCCGAATTCATGGAGGTTATTTACAGGGTCGGTAGAGGCCAGGTAGAGCCTCGGTAGAGGTGCGGGGGGTCGCTCGTTTTGAAAACGAGAAGGAACGACCAGAGAAGCAACAAAAGAAAAAAAAGAGAAGTAAAAGAAGAGAAATAAAAAATAATGCAGAATCTTGGGTACACGTGAGAATCCAGCTACAGCCCTCAGGGAAACAGGGGAGGTAAAGAATCTAGAAAAAAGAAAAGAAAAGAAAGGCTCTTACTCTCTGGACGTGAAAGCAGACAGATACAGAACCTGTGAGTAACGGTGAGAAAGCCCCGTTGGTTGCAAGTGTCAGCTTTCCGTGGAAAGCGCCTGCTTAGTTGGCAGGGTGCTTCGACTAAGGGCCTCGCTGCACTACTCTCGAAATGTGCAAAACGAGAGTGAATCTTCCGCTAGAATATGGAAAGATACACCGCCAATATTTTTGTCTTTTGTGCATGTCGAGAGTAGTGCAGCGAGGCCCTAAATTTAAAAAACAAAAGAAAAAAAAAAAACGTAATACGCTACTGGCTATGATGGTGGGCAGATGCATCTCGAAGTAGCACGTGTGTGAGCACACGGGCCGCTCTCCACTATAAAAATGTGCAAAACGAGAGTGAATCTTCCTCTAGCACATGGAAAGATACACCCCATGTTTCGATAGTAGTGGAGCGAGGCCCCAACTTCCTCGTGGCCTCCAGCTCCCCATCTCCTTTTTTTTTTTTTTTTTTTTTTTGTGCTGCGCATTCTACTGACAATGAGTCTGCTATTCACGCCTTCTACGGCTCCTCTGCCAGCAGCAGAGTGCCCAATGGGGAAAAAGGAAAACCACGGGAATAAAAAAAAGAAGGGGGAAAACAAACGGAAAAAAAAAAAAAAAAAACAGCACAGAAGTACTGGTCGCCCGTGCTGAGGGACCGGTAGCTCCCCATATCACGACTACTTACCAGCTGTATTCCCATGAGACAAAGAGGTTCGTGGCCTGGAAAGAAAAAAGGTTCGGCAGAGTGCTCCGGAGGGTACTGGTGGTTTAAGAGGGGGTCCTAAGTTACTGACTTCTAACGCTTGATTATATTGTTTTTTAATTTTTATTTTTTTTTTTGTTGGTAATGCAATGGCCCCTTCTATTCTGGGGGGCATCAGTCCAATTATATTGGTCGTTGGACGCTTCTTTTTCTTTTTTAACTATGCTATATATTTTTTTTTAATTTCACCTTTCACTATCTACCTGCCACTACTCCTAAGCCTATACTGGGGACCCCTGCAAGCATAGCTACCTCTCACAATTTTTTGGCTCATCTGTGGCTCATTTTGGTGGTTTGTCGTTTTCTTGTTTTTCCTTTTTTAGCTCATATTGGTGCTCTCGTTTTGTTTTGTTTTTCTTCCCTTTCTTCGTATTGGTGTTGGAATCGTGCTTGATTCCCAAATTTTACGGAGCGCGCAGGCATGCTGGAATCTACCCGCCTTTTCTGTTCTTTTTTCTTTTCTTTTTTCTTTTCTTTTTTCTTTTTGACAAAAAACAGAATCGTGCGGGTTCTGGCTCCTTTCCATTCTGGGGAGCATCAGTCCTGCTCCTCTTCCACCGGCAAGTCAGACAGGATTACAAGCAGAGATAGTCACGCACACCCCTCCGCATTACTGTTGAGACTCTTGAGATGCCCACCTAGCTTTTCTTTTGGTTTGTTTCTTTTTTTTCTTTTTTTTCCTTTGTTTCCTTTTTTTCCTTTTTTTCTTTTTTTCTTTTTTTCAATTGTGTGTTTTTTAGTACTGTTTACTTGTTTAGAATTTAAATATGTGCTTTCTCTGTGTATGGCTGTTATGTTTGTCAGGAATTGCGGGCCCAGCTGTACCGGCTACTGGAACGGAAGGTGAGAACGCTGCCAGACGAAAGCTGTCTTGTTCTCTGGTTTCCATTTGGCAAGGACTACTGCAACAAGTGTTGTGGTCCTTGTGAATGTATGTGAACAAAATGCCACAGTGTGTGAATCTAAATGGTAAATAGAGAATAGAGAGAGTCGAACGGCCACTACGCGCCCCTGGCAAAAAGAATAGCTGGGGAAATATATTCACCGCAACCTTCGGGGTTCGGGGCTAGCAAACCAAAATGGTTTGCGCCACCAGACAAAAAGGAAAAGAATTGCACCCACAGCGTCTCGTTCTTTCTTTGGCACACAGTACGGTGGGGGCCGGGGAAAACAGCCTCCGCCGCAACGGTGGTTTAAAGAAGCGAAGACGATGTCTGGATGTAAATGGTGTGCACGGGTGCTCTCAAACATTTTGCTGGATCTGTCCATATTGATGCTGTGTGGCATCCTGAGAGGCTATGTATGATGCATCGGATTGACTGCCCGGCTGGCGCATTTGCAATCTTGTGGCCCTGCCCACAAATAGTTGGATTGAGGTTGTCAAGAGGAGGACAAAACAGGGTTAACAAACAGGTGCAAACCTGAGTGAGGACGCTGCCCGGCCAGGCAGGCCGGGGGGGGCCGCCCGGGTAAACCGGGCGGGCCAGAAAAACACCCATAATTTTTTTTATTTTTTTTTGGAACCGACGACCCGGAATCTGCAATAAAATTTTGGTTTTGGGGTGGGGGCTCTGGGTGGGGGGTGCTGGGGTTGGGGGGGTGTCTGGGGGCTGGGGGCTCTGCCTGTATGTTGCCTGCTGTATGCTGAATGTATGTCAGCTGATATGTACTGGGTTGGGTGATGGATGGATGGATGATGGAGGATGGAGGATGGCGAGATGGGATGGAGGGAGGGAGGGATGGAGGATGGAGGATGGAGGATGGCGAGGTGGGATTGAGGCAGGGAGGGATGGAGGATGGAGGATGGAGAAAGGCAGGGAGGAGTAGGGAAGAAGGGGAAGAAAAAGACGAGGAGAAAAGAAGACCTAACGAGGGGGGAGGAAGAAGAAGAAGTGAAGAAAGGTAGCGGAGAAAGATGAAAACGCAAGGGGAAGGAGGGGAAGAAGAAGAAGACGAGAGGACGACGAGGAGAGAAGGAGAAGAAGAAGATGACCAAAGGAGGAGGAGGAGAGAAGAAGAAGTAGAAGAGGACGGCCTTCGTTTTTGTTTTTTTTTCAACCTAACGTGTCTCACGTGACCTACCGAATGTCGACGAACTGGATGAAGAAGAAGCAGCAGCAGCAGCAGCAGCAGCAGCAGAGGAAAAAGAAAACGAGTGGGGAAGAATGGGAAGACGAAGTTATGGAGGAAGATGAAAGTGCGACGTGGATGAGGGGAAAACGAAGAAGACGAGTGGAGGAGGAGGAGGAGGAGAGAAGAAGATGATCCAAGTAAGGGGGGTGGGGGGGTGGGGGGGTAGGTGGATGGCCTGTCATATCTCACGTGACCTGCCGAATGATCTAGAAGAAGAAGAAGAAGAAGAAGAAGAAGGTGGGGAAGAAGTATGGCTGCGTTAGGGTATGGCGGCAGCGGTAGGGTATGGAGAAAGGCAGGAAGGAGCAGGGAAGGAGGGGATGAAGAAGACGAGGAGAGAAGACCTAATGAGGGGAGAAGAAGAAGAAGAAGAAGAAGAAGAAGAGAGGTGAGGAGGGCAAGAAGAAGAAGATCAAGAAAGGTCAAGGGAAAGATGAAAACGTGAGGGGGAGGAGGGGAAGAAGTGGAAGACGAGATGACGACGAGGAGAAAAGAAGGAGAAGAGGAAGATGAGCGGAGAAGTAGGGGGAGTAGGATGGTCGGTTTTTTTTTTTTTTTTTCGTAACCTTTCATGTCTCACGTCACCTACCGAATGTCGACAAACTAGAAGAAGAAGAAGAAGAATAGGAAGAAGAAGAAGAAGAAGAAGAACGGCGCCAGCAGCAGCAGCAGGACAGTCGGGGCCTTTGTCATAACAGCAGCGGCAGGACAGTCGGGGCCTTCGTTGCACACCTGATGGCAATGGCGACGGGCGACGGGCACGAAGAAGAAGAAGAAGAAGAAGAAGAAGAACGGCGCCTTCGTCGTCGGGGCCTTCGTCGTAGCACCAGGTCCTTCGTCGTAGCAGCAGCAGCAGGACAGTCGGGGCCTTCGTCGTAGCAGCAGCGGCAGGACAATCGGGGCCTTCGTCGGAGCAGCAGCAGCTGCACACGCGATGGCGATGGCGACGGGCGACGGACGACGGGCGACGGCGCAGCAGGAGGAGGTCAGCAACTGGGATTGTGCTGGGGGGCGAGTGGCAGACCACCCCAGCCGATCGAAGGTTTGAAGGGGGGGGAGGGATTTTGGCGCCAAGATCCCATGGCTCTGTGGCCATCAATCATGGAGGATCGACGACCACAGAGCCCACAATAAATTCAAAAAACAAAGCAGGCCTACCGGGCCCGATGCTGAGGTTTTTTGGACCGGCCGGACCCAGTAGGCCTGCAGGAGGCCAGCAGCAGCCGAAAGGGGGTCCGAAACCCCCCGGCAGGTGACTGCGCTGGGGGGGCCCGGCCCTCAACCGGGTGCCCTGCCCGGTCAGGCCGCCCGGGACCTCCCCCGGGCCGCGGCCTGTCACCCGGGCGACCCGGTTCCCCACTCAGGTGCAAACCTTTTTTTTTTTTTTTGTGTGTGTGTGTGTGCGTGTTTGTTAGAGGGGGATGCTCATATCACCCCCTCTAACACCCATCACACTTTTTTTTTTTTGGGGGGGGGGGGGGAGCAAACACCGGTGCAAACTCTGTCAATAGAAAAAGAAATCAGTATATCAGACTATGTCTGTGTGGTCCTGTTACTCTCTGTTTTTTCTGGGTGCTTCGACATTTTTTTATCTGGTAGCACTGTCTCCTTCACTTCAGTGTGTTGGTTCGGATGTTGGGATTTTAAATCATTTTATTGATGTGTTCTCGTCGACAGATTACTTCTATGTTTTGTGTGCTTGTTGGTGCTCGTTTTGGCATTTTAGTGCTTGCTTCGGCGGTGACCTTTGCTGCGTTTTTTTTCTGTGCGGGTATGGATTCCTTGTCTCTTCATTCCTTAGTGCTTTACGTACTGTCTTTATTCGAATAGAACGTATGGTCGTTATAGCCGCACCTTTCAGTCCAGATGCACCAAAAATGACCGTCCTACCGCACCTTTACCTACTGTCTTTATGCGAATAGAACGTATGTTCGTTATAGCCGTGTTTGTCTCACCTTTCAGTCCAGACTCCAGATGCAGCAAAAATGACCATGCGTTCTATTCGGGGGAAGAAGGTAGACTTGGACTTCGAGGTTGTGCACTCGCTTTGTTGTCTCACCTTTCAGTCCAGATGCAGCGAAAATGACCATACGTTCTATTCAGGGGAAGAAGGTAGACTACGACTTTGAGGTTGTGCACTCGCTTTGTTGTCAGCGCTTGACAACAGAAGAACCTTTGCACAGAAAAGTCAGATGGTGACATGACTGATTTGCCTTGTGTCGTCTGGCTTTGCAGATTCAAGATCCTCGCATGGACATGCAAGTGGAAGGAGGGGGCGTTGTAACGGCTGTACGGGAGCTTCTTCATGGTGAGCAGCAGTCTCAAGCATATGGAGGAAGTGGATATGGAGGGAGCGGAGGTGGATATGGTGGTGGGCGTGGGCGTGGCAGACGGTGGTAATATTGCTGGTAGGTAGGATTAGTGAAGTGTTCAAAAAGTCAACATCTATAGGATGTAGGATTAGTTAAGCGTAGCTCAAGTTGCCATCGGTAGAATATATAAACAGTGAGAGGAAACAGACTTGTCAGGGCAGCCTCTCCCCTGCTGTAGCTTTCTGTACGGGTATGGAATGAATGGGCTACTTCTCCGATGTCGTTGAGATTTTGACACTCAGCCCATGCTGCTGGTGGTATGTTTTTCCAAGACGCTTTCTTCTCCTCTCCCTCCCCTCAAACATCTCTTCCTCCTTTGCTACCTTTTTCCTCTCCCACTTGCCTTCTCTCTCTCTCTCTCTCTCTCTCTCTCTCTCTCTCTCTCTCTCTCTCTCTCTCTCTCT